CAAACTACATACCAATATGCCAGGACTGATTATCATTTTCATTTTAGTACAATTCTTATGCTTTTTAAGATCATTTTATGAATTTTTGTATTTGCATTTCAACTAACATTTGAATATATTTTTGGACAAACAGCCATTAGAAATCTGAAAATATAATTTTGTAATGCAATTAATTCATATAGTAACACATGTATCACATTCTCTAATAATCATCAATAACTGTAGGCTGAAAATTACAGTATATCACCTGATCTTACCATCCCATAAGGCATTCTGACAATAAACAACTCCTTGTCAGGTCCCAAGTGTTCCAGGGAGAGCGGCCCTGGATTCTCAACAGGCGCAAATTCGGCGACATCTGGAACTATGCCTGACAATTCCTGGAAAATGTTAAAAGAAAATGTTAACGTTCTTTGTATTTAGAGAAAATTATGAATTAACCAAATTCTTTATACAATTCTTGCTTTCATTAATGTTATTGACACTATACCAATTACCTTCACTGGCATCTAAAATAAGACTTTCTTCTCATAATTACAATGGCCATGCTTTATTCAAATGCACTTAAAATTTTCTGTGATCTGTTTTAAAAAGCCTAAAATCTGAACCCCTCATGTCCTAGCTATTGTGGCCAGCTTTTTCTTCTTTTTCTTTCTTACATAGCTGTATTTGCTATGATCATGAAACACTGTTGGGATGTTATTCCTGCCTTTTTTACCATGAAAGAGACATAGTATCTCCTAATAAAATTGGTACATAAAGGCTAGCTTCCTTCCACCACATTCATCTATGTTAATAAAGATTAAATTTAATTAAGAAGCATAACAGGAAATATGAAAAACATGGAATTCTTACCATGTGCAAAATAGGTAAACTTGAATTTGCAATGACTACTCCCTCTCAATGCTTCACAGTAACAGACAGAAATTATATTGCTTATTCTAACTACTAATTTATTTAAAAACATTTTATCCTATATTGATTGAAGCAAAACCATACAATAAATCACCTGAGATGTGTATTAGTTTTATCTTTTCATAGTAATGGTTGTAGTAGTTTGCTGCCATGGTTAATGTTACTGAGAGCAACACAGTGATAGAAGGAAATGGACACCACTATCTTAAAGAGCATAAGAAATAGTCATAAAGAGCACAGGTACAGCTGCTGCAGCCTCATATCTAACATGAACTGACAAAAAACTCAAATGTCACCTCTCCGAGACTGAGTCTACAACACCCTCACCGTCAGAGTTCTTAACCCATTCATGCTGGTATATTTTGAAGCTGAAAATTAAAAATTATAGGCAGCTACAAACTCGGTGCGTGGGGCTGGCCCAGACTCTGCCCGCTGCTGCACTGGAGCGCAAGCCCTGATACAACGTCACACTAGCGGGACGCCCAGCTTATTTTTTCGGGTGTCTCATATGTGGGAAACCCTGTTGTTTGTGGGTTAATGTAGTGTTTTCTATAAGATGGCGCAAAGTGCAAATAAAGGGGGGATACAAGGCCGCTTGCCCCCTATCTAGGGACTAAACAGAAGGTAGGAATGATAGGTTTGGATTTTTGGGTTCGAATGATATCCTGGTTTTGGGACACACTTCGTTCTCCAAAAAAACTGTTGACTGATGTGATATGTTTGGTTTCAAGAAAATATTGCGTGAAGACTTTCATGCTGCCATTAACTAATGTCTAACCCACCTTTTTCATAAATAACTTCCATAAACAGTGTGGCGAACATACTGGTCATTATCAACAAAGTACTCCATAACAAACCTGCTTTGCTTCAGTTTTTCCATCTTCACTCTCCTGTCCCTTTTCCTGTGGCATCCTCATCCTTGCCTCGTAAACATCAACTCGTACAATTAAATAATAACAATAATTCTTGCTACAGCTCACACTGCCACTTTCCCTTCACGTGGGTTTGTTATTGTTTTCAAGCGACAGAAGCGTCCACGTTTTCGAACCGACTACCTTAAGCTTATTCGCACAACCACACGGCCTAATGCGCACAACTACTCGCAGAGTCACCTGAAGACTTTTAACATCATGTGCATTCTGCCAGATGATTATCTGATTAGTAACCTGTATGATTATCGAATGATTATCAGATTATACTACCTACCAAGGCTAGTAAAAATGGTTGTAAAGAAGCACATTTTTAGATTATGGTATCTGTATTCACATCGTTTCCCGGGTATGCAAGTCTTGACTCTTTACTTGTTTAAGTATGTAATTTCATCGATACTTATGCATGTTGAACAAATACTATCATAGACTTTCAAACAAACAACCATGAGTACATATGATGGCAATGGTAACGATAAGATTACTATTAATGATAATGATGATAATGATAATAATAATAATGGAAATGATGATAATAATGATGATAATAATGATATCAATAATAATGATAATGATGAAGATGATGATGATAATAATAATAATAATGATAATCATAATAATAATCTTAATAGTATTATTATTACTACTACTACTACTACTGTGATTAACATCCTCTTTATTGTTGTTATTGCTATTATCATCATTATCATTATTATCATTATCATCATTATAATTATTTTCATTATCATCATTAATATCAGTACAATCATTATCATTATTATTATCATGCATATATATATATGCATATACATTATTATTAATTATTATTCCATTATCATTACTAATGTCATTATCATTGCTATTGTTATTATAATTATCATTATTATTATTATCATCCTTATAATTATTATCATTGTTACTATCACTATCTTTCCTATTATTATTATCATTATTATTATCATCATCATTATTGTCATTATTATTATCTGATGATATTAAGGATAATGGTGATGATGATGATGATGATGATAATAACGATAATAATAATAACGAGTTAGAAAAAAACATTAGCAATCATGATATTAGAAACACAACGATAACAAAATAACAAGATCTCAATAACAACAACGTTAATGATGATGTAAATAATGATGATGATTATGATAATGATGATATGATGATGGTGATGATGATGATAATGATAACAATGATAATAACAACAATGCAATAATAATCATGATATCAATAATAATATAAATAATAATAATAATAATAAAATAATAAATAATAATAATATATAATAATAATAAAATATAATAATAATAATGATAACAATGAATGATAATAATAATAACAATGATACATATGATAATGATGGATAAATAATATCGATAAACAAATAAAATAATTGTAAAATAATGATAATGATAATGTAATGGTAATGATGCTGCTGCTGATGGTAAACAATAATAATAATAATAATAATATAATAATAATAATAATAATAATAATAATAATAATAATAATTAATAATAATAATAATAATAATAATAACAATGATAATAATAAAGATAATGATAATAATAATAATACTGATGATGATAATAATATATAATAATAACTGGTAATTAATAATAATAAGTAATAATAATAATAATAATAAATAATAATAATAATAATAATAATAAATAATAATAATAATAATAATAATAATAATAATGATAATAATGATAATAATAATATAATAATAATAATAATAATAATAATAATAATAATAATAATAATAATAATAATAATAATAATAATAATAATAATAATAATAATGATAATAATGATAATAATAATAATAATAATAATAATAATAACAATAATAATAATAATAATAATAATAATAATAATAATAATAGTAATAATAATAATAATAATAATAATAATAATAATAAAAAATAATAATAACAATGATAATGATAATAGCAACAATAATAATGATAATAATAAATAATAATAATGATGATGATGATTGGTGCATGAGTACTCCCTGTGCAATGTATAAACAATATTACTTGTGCATACTTGGCACGTCATCAAGTATATGTACGTGAATATCTACATCTGATATGAGTACAGTACGATTAGAGAGATGACCTCTGAACGAGTATTCCCTTGAACTTGAGAGTTGCTTCTGATAATCAGCTGTAGTTCCACTTTCCATGCCATCAACTTTCGTACAGTGATATGAAAATATTTATGTAAATCGGATGGCAAAGCTTCAACTGAAACCGAGTCATGAACTAGTCATCATTTAAGTATATTAAGATGGCGCAACGCATATGATTAACATTTATGTGTAATAGTCACACATTCTCAGCTATACTCGCTTTCATTACTCAGTAAAATAACCATGGAAATTATTTACAAAGAGGAGAAAGTAAGAAAGAGAAGTATTTGTACAGCAAATTCTTAGAAGAAAATGGGAAATTCAAATAGGAGAGACGAAAACGAGATCGCAAAATATAGGCGGAGGTTAAGAGTTAAAATATGCATCGGTTAACTTCATTTTTGTTCAGATTGAAAGTTCCAACGAGAATAACAAAGTAAATTATAGTTGATTAGAAAGAAAGTTATTTCTATTCATACTCAGTGAATGAAGGATAGTTAAAAATCTATTACGTGTCATATTTTTTGTACTCGTTTAAAACCTGTTGTGAATTCGTTCTGTGCAGACCGTCAGCTGACTGACTTGCATGATTCACGTTTCAAATACGAAGAAAGAAGTCGTGTAAATAACACTTGGAGATAAAGAAATATTTTAATACTCTAGAAAAAAATACTAATCAGTACATTATGATTTTGTCATGAATCTACTGATGTGCTCTATAAGACTGTTAATGGTATATTATATATATATATATATATATATATATATATATATATATATATATATATATATGTGTGTGTGTGTGTGTGTGTGTGTGTGTGTGTGTGTGTGTGTGTTCCACTTACTTATTTGACATGCTTATCTTGCAAATCAGTGTTGCAACTTGCAATCTTGCTGATATCAAATGATGTTGATAAGAAAATATAATGCACTAACGACGTAAAGTTTGCCTAGGTGAATATTACAACATTGGCCGGGATTCTGAGAATGCCAGAATGTTCTCGGCTAACCGGCGTAATATTCGGCAAGGTATGAGATTCAAAAATATGTTTAACAGCATCTGAGTTGTCTTTGTGCCCGGATTCTTCTCCCATTATTACAAAGGGATTCCTCTACCAAATCTCTGAGGTTTAAGGCTGATGATCGAGTGAAGGCACGAAGACACAGAATGCCCTGCCCGATCCCAAGGCCAATAGAAGTACTTATATAGACCTTGCCCGACCCGACTCATGATTCCTCCTCGTCGGTGGCGTGACTTTCCTCCGGGAAACGAAGACGTTCGCTAATGGAAGGAGAGTTAATATCTGTTCCCCCCCCAAAAAAAAAAAAAAATAATAATAAATAAATAAATAAAATCAAAGAGATTCTGGCAGCTACATATGATCTAAATGTGATCACACCACATCCCTAAGGCCAGTGGGGCTTCTCGTTGCAAAATAGGAAGGCCACAGAGATATCCTGGTTAGCATGAAGGCAGATCCAGTTGGGACGATTTGACTTGGAAAACGGGCTCCTGTAATGAGTCCTCTCGCCACTTTAGAGTCATTAAGTTTATCACCTTGATACGGATTACATTTTAAAAGGACATTCAAAGTTAGGTTCTTGCGACTAGCCACGGAGGGGTCCTCGGTCTTCTTTATCCCGTTGGTCAGTATCATTAACACTCAACTTCCAGTGAACGTAAGGTCATAGCTGATGTGGATGATCGTGTTTCCCCATTGGGAGAAACATCATAAGAAGGTCCAGTGCTGGCTGGACCTCATGCCTAGGAAAGAGTAATGATTAGGGTAGATATAGATCCATGCTACCAAATTGAAGGTCATGTCAATGAGAATTGAGACTTTCATGGCAGAAAGTATGCAGAATTCTACATTCATTCTTAGATTCTCAGTTTTTGACTAATTCAATTGATCCTGCCAGGATGAATACAGATGTTCCCAAGAGGACGAGGGCTACTAAGATTACGAGATGAATGTGAATAATTCTTGGCTGTCTCCCATAGATCCATGGTGCTGATAATCAACCAACTCAGAGGTCAGTTGCTGGGCTATGTTGCAATAAATAAGTCTGTAGTTGGATTCTTGGGCGTGAAATTAATAACAAAGTTCATGCCCTTGCATTGCATTACCCGTAGGTAAAAGCAGGAGGGACTACAGCGACCACAACTTCGAGAAATATTACATATTTAATTAACGGAACAAGCGACCCCATCATACTCACTGCTGTCATATTATACACCGTCTCATTCCTACAGAGGTGGCAGCCATCAATGGGAGCCGGCTTAAGCCACCTCAAAGGAAGGAACATTGTTTAGCATGTGATTTCATGGCAGTCTGGACTATTGGTGCCTTCTGGAGGATGTCGCATGATCGTAACGGAACTCTCCTGGCATTTTGAAGAAAATGCTTTTTTTTTTTTTTTTTTTTTTTTTTTTGAAGAAGGGGAATCAAGTGTTTATTATTGTTACTAAACTCCAACCATTTATGGATTTTTTTACTGTCATCGTAAGCTTTGAACTTCGGCCTGTACATCAAACGATGTGACCCATAAGACTAGTGTGAGGTGATCATGCCAAGAATTACGGTCACAAGAGAAAGGTGACTACAGTGGCAAAAGATATCGCGTGCTGGTAGAAATCATTAGTATGTGTACAGTATGGCCAGTCAACCACAATCCCTTTTGGTTTTCTTGGAGATCAGAGAGAGAGAGAGAGAGAGAGAGAGAGAGAGAGAGAGAGAGAGAGAGAGAGAGAGAGAGAGAGAGAGAGAGAAGAGAGAGAGAGAGAGAGAGAGAGAGAGAGAGAGAGAGTGTGTGTGTGTGTGTGTGTGTGTGTGTGTGTGTGTGTGTGTGTGTGTGTGTGTGTGTGTGTGTGTGTGTGTGTGTGTGTGTGTGCGTGCGTGCGTGCGTGGGCGCACTCATGGCACCCATGAATGTCCTATTTAGACAAACCTATTAAAAAAAGTCTTGACTGGCAATTGCAAACTGCAACCCAATTGCAATTCTAAACTTCCTCAGCGAAAGAAGCGCATGGTAACATCTAGGGTTATCAACGCAAGGGTCAAGCTTGCCAAGCTGTTGTTAGGCTACCATAATCTCTTTAGAGGAAACCCAACAATACAATCTTGGAAACCCATAAGGTCCTGAGGCCCGAGTAATTTTTAGAAAGGTGTCGCGTTCAGGATGACGAAACTCAGTCACCAACCGGATCTCCGGCCTGTGATTGGCGGACGCGGCCGACCAATTGCAGCCGGACGAATCACTGGCAAGAATACTTGGGGCGAGTGAGTGAACGCAGCCGTAGTAATCTGTGAGTGACGTTCTTTATAGATCTGGTAAGATTGGTTGTCCATTTATCACATTCCCTCTGTGTTATGTAAATTCTATCACGTTATTAGTCGTTATAGGAGGCAAGAGGAACGTCAGAAGTATTAAGACAACGTGACAGTAAGTTCAAATAGAAACAAAACAGGAATATGTAACTTGGCCTGAAGACGCTGGGAAACTCCAGTCATGGTGTAATATTTTGCACTTTTTGGCTAGAACACAGCATTCCCGTAAATAAATCATGGTAGGATGTATCAGACTTCTGTAGCAGAGGGGATTTTACTCAATATTTCTTGTAATACTTTTTAAAAATCGCTTTTAAGCATTTCTCCATATTTAGGCTAGCGATCAGGTGATGATAACCGTGGGTTATATTTAACTTTAATTAATTTTAATTTACGGGGTCACCAGGTGCGCTGAAGTAAACTCATTAAGATTAAAGTGATAAGCAGAAACCAGTATAAACCAGTAATTCATAGGAGACTGTAACATGTAAAGCTTATGCTATGTTTTCGAAGGTGTAGCAGAAAATGTTCTGACTGTAGCAGAGCAGACTGATTGATGGTACATATATCAAGGGATCCCACCCAGACTTACAAATTTGTTGTATATGAGCTAGCTATTTGTTATTTTATCCCTGTTTTGGGGAACTTGTAATTTCATGCTAATGCCTGAAAATGTAAACAAAAAATGGTAGAGGTTAAAGACACCGACGCGCGTAGATAGAGAAAAAAGGACACCGCCATCTTATAGAGCAGAAAAAATAGAGTGGGATGGAACATAGTTAAAGCTGCGCCGGACTTATATGGGAGGGTGCGTCGGGCTCGGTAACAATTACCCAAAAATTAGTAAATTTCATTTCAACCAGCCTTGGACTTCTGAAAATGTGTATTTTTTTCATTGGCGTATTTCTTGGTTGTTTAGTGCATATATTATTTGCCTTTTAAGAGATTGGCTGGTAAGAAGTTGACCCATTACCAAAAATTCTGATTTGTATTCCTGTATTTTTTTAACAGAGTAAAGGATACTTTTTGTAGGTCATATAAATTCATATATTCTAATGTGTCCTGATAATTCATTGAATAAAGGGAGCACACAAGTCATAAAATTTGATATTAGTTTGTTTCACACAGCTGTATGGCACAAGATAAATTTTGCCTGTAATGGATAGAACGGCAGAAAATAAGAATCTTCATCATCAAGAGTTGATAACAAGAATGTTGTGCATTACCTAAATATTTGGTATGCATTTATAAGGAAAATCTATTGACATTATCATAAAGAAAGGGAAAAACTGCACACATACAGGAAATGATTGGTAACTTTTTGTATCACACAGCCATCCAATTTTGCAAATGTTACTCCTTTCAATTATCAATGCTGTAATATGTATGAATCTGGTATTATTTTCCATTACAGATAATATAAATGAAAGTATTGGTAATGTTATGAGGTGACCTTACCTCTCTGAGATTAAGTTCCTATTACTCCAGCCACTCCAGGGAAATCCGCAAACATCGTTGTATGAACCAAAATCCTTCCTTACACGGGCTTTGCCCCCAGACCCCCATCCAATAGACCCAGTTGCTGTGGACTTACTCTCTGGATGGCATTTGTCATGACCTATTGATCATATTTTCTTGCCAACAGATTATCTCAAGTATAAGTGAGTGTAGTTTTTCTCATTAAATATTATAGTGTCATTACATTTTCCTGTAAATATTTCCCAAAGTATTAGATGTTGTACAACTTTCATATTATTAACTTTGGAAGATAAGACCACAGATGAAAAGTGTATTATTTCTGGTCATTGTGTCCCTTACAGGCAAATTTTACCTTGTACTATATGGCTGTGGGAAAATGAAACTATACCAGATAATCTACCATGTCAAATAATAATGGCAGAGATAAAGGCAAAGTTACTTATAGCAACTCATGGAGATATAGAGAAATGGACACTGCCATCTTATAAAGTATAAAAAAATAGAATAGGATACAACATAGTTTAAGCTGAAGTGGCCTCATAGTCACCACTAAGTGACGAAAATATACCCTGTATATTACCGCTCAGATTCTAAGTTGTTCATCTTGTTTACCCTGTTTTAGGGGACCGTCCCTGAGAATGGCCACCTTTTCCCTACTCTATACATCATAAAAAAATATCGGTTAGAGATAACTGATTGATTCTTTTTGCATGCTATAGAGTAAAGAATTGCGCTCCGTTATATAATATATTTTAACTTTGCTTCCCCATTGGGGGGGGGGGGCACCCCAAAAGTTGAAAAAAATCGCTGTTTTTTTGGTATGTCTTTGGTACATCCCAATTATCAGAGCTCTTTACAGAATATTCCCCCCAAAAATGCTAGTGTTAGATCAACTCTAGCCTATAGCCATGTAAAAGGCCGAATTTTGAATTTCCTTTTTTTTTTTTGGGGGGGGACAGCTTGACATAGAGAACTATTTTTGAATGCTTTTTTCAGCATTAAAATCTTATTATTTTTTGATTAAGGCAAAAATTCAAAAATCGGCCTTTTACATGGCTATGGGACGCCGAGGCTCTAGTGAAAGCAACAAACTGCATTTGGATCGCATGAAAATTACGTGAGTTGGGAAGTACCGAAGATTCATAAAAAAATGGCGGAGCTACGGCGTATTGTATTTGGCACCTTGCCAAAGTTCGTTATCTCTGTTATTTTTCTCTGAATCTAATGATATTATATATCAAAAAAATGCTTATTTAGTGTACTTTGCAATGCAATGATTACCAAGTCAATAGGAATTTTCATGTTCAATAGAGACACTATTCTGTAAAGGTATGTCACTTTTTTTTTTTTTTTTTTTTTCGTTGTTCATTAAAGTTGATATTTTCGTGTGAAAAGCTTAATAAATGCATTTTACCATAGAGACGACTAATCTAAACCAGATAAAAACCTTTAAAAAAAATATATATATTTTTTATTTTCCATTTTATTTTTTATTATTTTTTTTTTTTTTTAAGAAATGGGGAACTGTGGATGGCAACATTAGTCCAAAATCATTCTAATTATAAAGTCCTGGCATGAATACAACATGGTGGTTCAATTTTGAGAATTTCAAAAGCATATGAATTTAGTACATTGAATTCGAGAACTTACGAAAGTCGTTGAATATTCCCCATGCCTCACACAGGGGGGGGGAGGGGGAGATGGTCACTGGGTGTTTATAATTTTTGAGGAGGATCATATGTACGTGAACGCACGCACATAAAGTTAAAAAGATTAATCATCATCATTTAGTAGGCCTACATTGACTTTCATATCTAAATAATAAAATTTATTAGTTATCCCTCTCATACCCATTTTCTTTGATAATTGTCAATATTAACAGATTGCAAGGAGAACAAGTGAAAAGTTTATGATTAGCCATTTGCACCCATTATCTTTACTAAGAAGTGCATAAAATCATGCAGACGCCTATGTGTTGTGGAATATTTGCCAATTTATGGTGCCTTAGACTTACGGTAACGTCTAAACATATTCATTTTTATCGGGAAACGCACGAAACGGATGCGATAGCTTTTTGAACGCCAGACGAAGACTATGCATATAACCGATCTCAAAATTCCATATAGTTTTTATTTCAGAGCAGGTATTACTGAGTACTATCATCTTCAACATGAAATAATCTATATCTCGCTTATACATCCGAAGTTTAAAAATCCCATTTAGGTAACATTCGTATTGAATTGGTCTTTACAACGGTAACTACCAATTTCAAATCAATTCAAATTGCCCCCTGCTGTGATGTACCCGTTGAGCGAAATGTAACGGAAATATTTCAATCCTTCCTTATAAGGCTATTTTTAAACATTAGTGCTTCGTATGTGATATACGTATATATTACCACGTAAACTAAAACATATTACCAGGGAGTCTCGATCAAAGCATATTTCGTGTGTAAAAGGACACAAAAACACATTTTTTTTTAGATATATTTCACAAAATATTTCGTCATAAATCACGGTGATATAATTTTTTCCTGATATTGGTTTAAAAGTGTTCCTTGAACATTCACGAACTCATATCTATGCGCAATGTCATAATTAAATGCCTTATGCACGATTGCCGCAAGCAAAAGTCCACATAGGTGTACCTGGGCGCTCAATAGCGACGTACTCTCCGGGTGCTGAGGGACTCACACGCCGGCTGCAAGACAACGAGCCATAGCAGGCGGTTAATACTCGTTTGGTAGTTTCCTCATCCATGTACCTATACTATACGCTATTATCTTAATTTAACCCCCTCCCCCCCCCCTCTCTCAGGGACGGTCCCCTCTTATAAAGTATAAAAAAATAGAATAGGATACAACATAGTTTAAGCTGAAGTGGCCTCATAGTCACCACTAAGTGACGAAAATATACCCTGTATATTACCGCTCAGATTCTAAGTTGTTCATCTTGTTTACCCTGCAAGGAATAACTCAAGCCTGACTGCATAACTCATTACTGCGATATCCAAAGTAATTAATGTATTACTAAGCACTTGTAAAAGCAATATTTGGCTAATTATCAGTGTCTGCTGTGTGAAACAAAAAAAATCCAAAAATTTATTTTTGCTAGTGGATTTTATTTGTTCTTATGTATAGTGTACCCTGTATCCAGGGACTATGATTGCTTCTGTGCCTCTTAGCAAGACAAAAAAAAAAGGCCAGCAAATGTCATTCATATATATTCTAGGTAATTCTTTACAGTATGGATGTACTCACCAGAGACAAAGTCCCCAAGTTGCTGTGACTGGGTGTGCCCTTCGGACACTGCCCAAGGGGAGGGTTGATGGTGGGGGCTCTGCTCCTCAACACCCCTCAGAAAACATAGTCTTCGCCTCAGTTTGCACAGCAAGATAGAGCAGAAACTCAGGGAACTGAGAGGACTTAGGCTGAGAGGGGCGCTTTCTGCTATCTTTTTGCTTTATTTGTGGTGTTAATGTTCATGTCTTCAGGTTATTTCTTGTTTCGACAGCTACATCCTTTTGTCCACAACAAGAATACCATATTCAATTTGCCTTAACTTAGTGCATCCATACCATATTCTAGTAGGATAGAGATTGGATTGGCTTCTTGTGTGAAGACAAGCCACCTGGGTGCATTATCAATATATTTTGTGTATCACAACTAATGCAGCAACTACAGAAGAGAAACATAGATGTGCTTATGATTATATAAGAATAGTTTTACTTGATTATTGTTAATAATTAAACTTTAGTAGCTATTTTTTCCAATAGATTTTCCCCCAAAAAACATCACTAAAATCTAGAATGTATTATTAAACCCCAATAGTTTGGTGTGTGGTGATTTTGCAGTGCCTGTCGGAATTTTTTTTTTTTTTTTTCGTGTCCCCTAATGTATCTGATGGTGTGTGGTATGTTTCCTCCAGCCACACACAATAACACCCTTGGATATCCATTCCCTTTGTAGGCCCTCCTTTTTTGGAAAAGTACGGTCATGATTTGTTTTCCCTTTCTTCTTGTGAATGGAATGTAGTGAAAATAAGTTAGTAATTCTTATTATTGTCTGGAATATTTCATCCAACCAAACAACATCTTTTCCTCTCCTACTTTCCCTATGCAACACCATATGATAACTTATCACTGAGTTATCTCTGTGTATCATGATTTTACTTTTTATCCTAATATTTATAGATATATCTATATACATACTCTTGTTTTTTTTGTGATAGAAGTAGGATTTTGTTTGCTTTGTTTTTTTATGGGGGTATGTATACTGCAATTTGGATTTTTTTCAGTTTACAGTGAAAATATCAGATTAAAATATCTGGTTTCATATACCTATTGATTCCACAAATTGTCAGACATTAATTTTTTTGTTAGTTATTTTCAAAGCTATCCTTTGAAATTTGATGTGATAGGAATGATGCTGATAGTTCATTCTTCGTATAAGATATAAATTATCTGTATTCATGCAGATAAGAAATCAGTCCCCAAAGTGGGGTTATCATAGAGGGCATTTTTAGGTATGGACTCTAGAAGTAGACCATTCCTTGTTATTTTTGCTTTGTTTTCTGGTGGTATTGTATGTCCTGTAATATTACCTTCATTCATATGAAAGTCTTTGAGACATGAAAATATCTTTTATACACTTTAAACAGTGATCACTTTGAGACTTTGCTTTAGAGCTAAGACAACATCAGTGTATTGTAAAGAAGAAAGAAAGCTGTTGAACATTTATTATAAAGTAAATAGGAATTATAGTTCAAGTTGATTATATTTTTCTCAGCAAATACCCATGAATATAATTAATGAATTTTTATTAAAGAGCCGTAATCTCTACAGCCCTGTATGGCTTGCCATGTCATGTGTGGTCTGTACAGTTTGCCACAATAGCTAAAACTTGAGGGTCTTTGCCTGTAACTTTTCCATTATCAGTGATAAGTATGTAGTGTCCAGCAATATATCTAGTACTATTTAGCAACTTTCCTCTTGCCACAGCCATGACGCCTTCCACATCCCCACCCCCCAAATGGGCCCTGCTTTTCCGGAGCCAGTCATTCAAATATATTGCTGCCCTTGCCTACTGGGGCACATTTCATCCAGTAAAACTCCATATCTTTTCCTCTTCCATATTTTCCCTGCTCACACCATACACCTATGTATCATTTATATACATGTGAATACATGATTTAGTATTTTTTATGATGAAAATGTCTTTTGTTATTTGTCTTTTTCCGTGTTGATATTTTATTTCTATTTACATTTGTACATGAGAATAACTGGAGCATCTTTTCCAAATTTGAGATGTATTAATGCGATTGTATTGTTTTTTTGTTTTGTAAAGGTGATACAGTTGAGCCTAAGAAGCCAAATAATCCCTCAGGAGTTCAAAGGTACTTCCATCATACATGAAAATATTACATTAAATGATACTCCCCTTGCTAAAACTTGTATGCTTTAATCAGAGAACCTTCCTTGTTGTATATACTGAAGTGCATTATATTTTCTGTGTTCACAGGTACCTGAACAAATAAGAGAGGCAAGATGAGTATCCAGTGGACTTTAATAGCTGGTGTTATGTATGTGGAGTTGGCAGTCACCATCTTTCTCCTAATACCTATCATTTCACCACAGAGGTAAGTGTGTATTTTACCTTTTATGTTTAAATATCATCGAGAAAATATTTTACATTTAAAATACAAATGAGAGTTAGTGGTATATGTATGAATGAGAATGAATATCTTCACAATACAAAAGATGTATTTGACTGGTTTTGATTATATCTTCTTAAGGTTATATGTTAAAAAGGTTAAGATATCAAATGGAACAATAGATTTAAATTTATACACTCTTTTTAACCATTCCAGATGGCACTCCATCTTCAAGTCACGGTTTCTGAGAAGCATTGGAAACATGTCACATATATACTTCAAGGTGTTCCTCGGTGTTTTGAGTCTTTTCTTCTTAGGTAAGAGAGATGCATTTGAAATGTAGAACATGTTTTATAGAGATTTTGAATTGAATTATAGAGATTCTGGTACATTTTGTTTTAAACTCTGATTTATACCTGACCCATTTTCTTTTAATCAAGATGCCATCCGTGAGATGAGGAAATACAGCTATGAGCTGTCAGAACAACAAAGAGGTGATCATGGGTATCACCTGGATGCTGAAATGCAAGCTCACATGAGGCTCTTCCGTGCTCAGCGCAACTTTTACATCTCTGGCTTCTCCCTTTTCCTTTGGGTGTAAATATCAAGAAATAGCCTTCTTCCTTATGTACATGTTTTAAAGAAAACCCCACACATTGCACAAACAAAATATGAAACACTTCTGTGCACTACAAACAATAATTTAAAATGAAAGCTTTTGTACCATTATGTTGACCACGAGACTTTTATGTTTTGAATTATTTTAAACACATTTACTAAGACTTTTTATGTGCTAGTATTTACAACATATTTTTCCACTATTAGTCTTGCACCTGTTCTTATGAGTCAAGAATCAATGCTCTCGTGTTTCTTCACATTTAACAACAAAGACATGCTCACCAGCATTCTGTTGAATAGAAAAGTTTGTAAGGCAGAATCTACAATGAATCTAGCAATGGATGTGTTGTCCTCAAAGCAGGCCATCTCTCAGGACTGCCACACAAAGAATTGATCACTAGCATTCTGTTGAATAGAAAAGTTTGTAAGGCAGAATCTACAATGAATCTAGCAATGGATGTGTTGTCCTCAAAGCAGGCCATCTCTCAGGACTGTAATGTTTGTGTGCCACACAAAGAATTGTATTATGCCCGTTCTGTTATTTTGTGCTTCATAGTATTATGAACTGTCAGGCATTTCATAATCATGATGGATTTCATTTCTAGGAGGATTTTGAAACTTCACTTTTCAATGTCTTGTTTGTGCATTGTGGATTTTTCAACTGTAATATATCAACAGTTTTAAAAAATTCTTGTGCTTTATTATTCATTTATTTTTGCCTCCTCATTTTAATGATTAAAATAGAAGCTTGTTAAATGTTAATTATGTAAAACAACTGTTTTGATTTTTTCTGTAAGAAAGCCACTTATTGCAATAAATTTATTTTTTCAGGGTGTTGCAGCGACTGATGACTCTTATTTCTAACCTTGCTGTTGCAATGGCAGAAGGGCATGCTGCCCTTAAGCAGGCCAAGACAGCCTCTGAGACAGCAGCTCAGCTTCTGAAGCAAGATAAGGCTGACAAGGAAGAGGATCAGCAGAAGGAAGCTAATGTCTCAAATGAGATAAAAGAATTGAAGGAAGGTAAGTTTTCCTATTTTTTTTATATATATTTTTTTGTGTAAGGGTGGTCTCATCCATTTGCAGCTAGATCACAAAAACACAACAGTAGGACAAAAAATACTTTAAAAAACTCCATATAGCCTAAATAAATTTGATGATTTAATTGTAAAGTAATTATTAATTTTATAGAAAATTCAGACAAAGTGCAGTAGCTCTGGCAGGCTGAATGAGTGAGAGAGTCTGGATAAGAGTGAGTGAAAGTAAATGTGTTTTGGGTTTTTTAGGAGGGATATTCATTAAATGAGTAGTATTTGAAGGAAATTCACCATCCTTACTCCTATTTTCTTATTTGGTATGTTAGAAGTGAGATGTATTACTAATAATTTAGGGATTTACACTATAACCAATTTATTGATGGATTTAGAGAATGTATACTATGTTTATAAAATATTTAACTGCACCTGAATATATATTCTTTTACATCCTGTCATATAGGCACTGTATACAAAAGCAGTTAATAGAGTAATTGTAGACCTATGCCATGAAAATGAAGGTTACACTTAAGTATACTGTAATGATTGATCCTCCCCCTTCTGTTGTAGACAAACGACGCTTGGAAGCAGAACGAGATGCTGCTTTGAAACAGGCTGAAGCTGTTAGCCGTGAATATGATCGGATGCTTGAAGAACATGCAAAGCTCCAGGAGCAGATGAAAAAAGCAAGTGGTGCTGAAGAATCCAAGAAGGATGACTGAGAACAGTTTCCTATCCTGCTATGATGTAAATTATGTTGTATGTACAGGAACAAATGGGAAGAGCAAGTTTGGTTATCTTTTGATAATATTCAGTGTTTATTGATCAGATGAACATTATAGAAGTTAAACATTAAATTGACATTAATAAGCAAGCCTATGAGATCTTGCTTAGTGCATAGGTTCCAAACAGTGCCTCTTGATATGCTGCTCCCATGACAGTAATGTAGGGGAACTATATTTAGAGGTTCGAGCTATGTTGTATGGTCTTTTTCTGAAGACTGGAGGAAGTGTAATGATGCCATGAAATTAGTGGTTTGTGAAATTAAATGCTTGGGCCTATTTGATTAATTTTTCCTTTTAAATAAAAGTCTTGTTGCCACATACAAGGCTCCTTTGACTTCCCCACCCCATCTCAGACAGAAAAAAAAATGAAACCTTTTATTTTAATTTTGATAATTTTCATAATTTCCAGAAATCATGCATAAAAGCAATTTTTTTTTTTTTTTTTTTTTTTTTTTTTTTTTTTTTGCATAGATTACTGCCCAGTAGATTTTATAAATAATGTTCTCTCTTTCATCAACAGTTTGCTTGACATCTGTTATCAATTCCCTGGCCATGTTGATGTGTGCTTTTGCCATATAAAAAGTTCTAATAAATGCATAAAAGAGACAGTATGACATGCTGTTAAAATGTGTAGCTTTATGATGAACTAAAGTTTTATTAACCCTAAAGCAAAGGCATATGACTGTGTATATGTTCATAGGATTGTTTGTGTGTGCAGAATTATCTTATTTTCAACTTAGTTTCCTTATAAAATGTTTACTGTTGATGTGGTGTGGCTGTTTCTATTCAATGTACTTATCATTGTAGTCATTTTGTTTATACAAAAGAGAGTTATTAGGTTCACATCTAATCTTTTTCATTTATGTAAGGAATTATTTACTCGGATAATAACGAAATAAAATAAAAATGCTATTTAAATGACGTTTACATGCAACCAACAGACTTCTTATTTAGAGTCATGGAATTGAATGGTAATGTTTGAATAATGGTAATGGTTGAAACAAATAAATGTGCTAGACATCGAAGTTCATATGGCACTATGGTAAAGTATTGTGGCAAAGAGGGTAAAAATGTGTTAGATGTCGAAGGTTATAGAGGTTTAGAGGATAGTATGATGGGAGAAGGGTAAATTGGGGGTGCAGATGGAAGTAAATTGGAGATTAGTATAGGAAAGGGTCAAGGGCATGAGAGATTGGGTGAAATAGCGTAACTGTGGCTGGGGAAGGAATGGGAACATTGAGGAAAACTGGCAAAAGAGCTATTAGGAAACAATCAGTGGGTAATATGAGAGATGGTTGCTGGGAAAATAGCAGGAGAATAATCTGGGGATTAAAATAAGGGGACTAGGGAAAGTGGTGAAGTATTAGGAAGAATGTCAGGATGGGAGGCATCCACAGAAGGACACGGATACAACAGAAGGGATTCATGTTAACATCCAAGTAGGAGAGGTAAGGATCATGGGGAACAAAGAGGGAATGGTGCACATGCGGAAGGATAGGATTGGGTGTGTTGGGAAAGAGTGGGAGGAAGAAGGGTAGCGTACATCCAGGAGGAGGAGGAGGATGGATATCAGTAAATACTTTTATTGCAGTGGGAATAGGAATAGAAGGATTGGAGGGTGGATGAGGGAGAATGGTTAATGGTTAAAAGCGAAATAAATGTGCTAGACATCTAAGGTGTTATAGCACTATAAGAAGGTATAGTAAAGGGTGATGGCAGGTAATAGTTGCTATGCATCAACTATGAAGAGTAATATTGAAAGGTTGATGGGTAAGGGAGTTGATGAGGGGGTAAAAGTTGATGAGTTTTAAAGTGGTGGTAATAATCTGTAGCTGGAATATGTGAGAAGCGTGGTTGAGAAGATGTGTACATAGCGGCATAGCGTGTTGGAGTATCTGCCTGTTCATTGCCAGGGAAGATGAGGGAGAGGAGCATTCCCTTGGGTCATGCTTTGGAATTTTTGGATGTCCAGATAATCTGGAGGGGTTTTGGGAGGGGGGTCTGAGAGGAGAAGAGTGGATAGATGTTCAAGGAGTTGGGGAAGAGGAGGGTGTAGGAGAGGGTGTGGTATGCGAAGATGGGGAGGAACATTTAGGTTGTCTGGTGTGACAATTAAAGTGGAAGTGAAAATGTTCGAGAAATATTTCCCATAGATGGAATAGTGCTTCCTTCCCACAATTGTTAAAGCAATCACCTGTTCATATATTAAATAAAATATATATGTATTTACTGATAACTGGTTTATATATGTACATATACATATATATGTCTATATCAGTGGTTCTTAATCTACAGGTGCCAGGTATTTGTATAGTCCACTGTAGTTTTTTTTTTTTTTTTTTTTTTTTTTTTTTTTTTCTTGTGAGTATAGTGTGCAGATAAATGGCTCCACACACACTTAGTTGTCAAGTAGTGGATCTACCTAACCTCACCTGCTATATATTCCTTGATTTTTTCCCCCTAATACTATTAATATAATTCCTATCATTAACCCATTGGATCTGGATAGGACCATTATTTCATTAAGAAAATTGGCAGAGGGCTAAGTGATGTGTATATATACTGTCATGAAAAAATATTGGCTGAGGGCCATGGTGATGGGAATGAATCATCATTAAGTATGCAAAGTATTTGGTTAAAGATAAAAATCAGCGGGCATTTAAGTAAAGGCTCTTGCATTATTTCCATTGGTTATCAAGAATGGAATGCACCATCTTTGAGCCCTGACTGGAAGAGTGCTGACTAGGGAGGTCACTATCTCCATGCTCCCTGGCATGAACAGTGGCACAGGGTGTGTTACAGATAATCAAAGAACACAAGTCACACATTGTATAGACTAGATAGTCTACCACAGAGTGATAGACTACATAGAGAGATAATATGGAGTCTCGTCAAGGAAAACAGTCTATTACCATCTGGATACAGCATAAGAATGGTGAAATATAGACCTTGGGAAAAAGTAAAAAAGTAAATAACACTTATACAAAAAGAGATAATAACCGTGCAAAGGACAAGCAAGGCATCTTGATACCAAAAAGGAGTGTTCCTGAGAGCTGGGTCCACCCCCCCCCACACACACATAAAATATATATAATCATATGAAATCAACCACAATAAAAGCCAATATTCATCAAAGGTATATTTCAAAATAAAGACCATATAAAATGTTAACAGCTGCACTGACACATGTCAAGTAAAAATTTCTAATGCTGAGTAGTATCGTCCTCTGATGCTTTTTCTCCAACTTCCACCATATAGATACTTTGATCATCACTGAAAAAGAGAAATTCTGAAGTTGGTAACTTAATTTTCTTGAAAAGAAAAATGGCTCTTTTATATTTCAACAAGACTGAAACCAAAATGTAATTGGGTCAAAAAATCAGGCACAAGAAAAATAGAACAATTTTCAGATGCTATTACAGGATTTCCAATTTGAAATCTAGATGTATGAACCCTGCTAATTGGAACATAATTTCATATTGCTGCTATGTGTATGATAGTGCCATAAGCAAGCTTTTCAAATATTTGTTTATTTCTTTTTCTTTCTTATTTTAGATATTATTGCCCACTAACTGAAGAGTAAGTTAATGGCCATGTGATATGATTCTTGATAAGAATTTGAGGTATTCATTTATACAACCCTTATCAGCAGAAACACTAATCCTTCGTTGCTCTATTTCCAGTTATTCTTATGTTACTAATTTTTTTTTACTCGTTATAGTGAAAATACTTCTTACCTGAGGAAATTATCTGTTTCAGGAAAATGTTTTCTCATGTGCCGGAGTAAAAGTCCTTGATAGATAAAGCCTTTCTGACATTCTCCACACTGAAACTTCTTTTCTCCTGTAAAATTGTAAAGTGAAACTAAGATTAATTGTCTATGTTCCTTGTAAAATTCTATATAGTTCATAATTGAAGTTAATCATAAAATTTTCTATAGTTCATAATTGAAGTTAATCATAAGACGTATATAGCTTCCAGCAGCTATTAAGCAAACAAAAGGCTCACCTGATTATCAGAAAAATAAAACTACAAATTATCATACTTGCCTGTGTGGCTCTGTAGATGAACATTCAATTTGGATCTAGTATTGAAGCGCTGTGGACATTCTGGACACGTAAATCTTCGATCCTCTTGACTGGTATGTGTGAATCGATGTGACCAAAGATTACTTCTACATTTGAAACTCTTATTACATTCCTGTAACAAAAGTAATCAACATCAATCACTGTAGGATCTGGCAAATGACTGAATACAAACAGACAGACTGACACATACACATTTGTATATACATAACTGAACAGCATATATAATGCTGAATATCATTGGGCAAATAATAATTAGTTATGGGCTACAACTTATAAAATTAACAGTATTTACCATTTACCAGCAAAATATATGTTACATACTTCACAACGAAAATTTCCATCTTTTGAATGCTTCCGCAGATAATGATTACGCAGCGACTTTGAAAATGCAAAAGTGTCATCGCAGAGGTCACACTTCACTCTTATGCCATGCTGGGTACTTTCATGTTGTTCCAGTTCACCCTAGAATTCAAGAATTTTCCAAGTCAGTTATCAACACTCCTTCATGTTATTACTAATAAATAATTATAATAATGATGATTACCATTCTCCCCTACACCCAAAAAATGATAATGGAAATGATAACCAAAACTATCAAAACAATTACTTACATTCTGGCTAACGAAATCTAACTGAATATCAAAAGAACTTCCTTAATACTGCCTATTCTTAACTCTTAGATGGCACTATAAAAGAAGAAGAAAAAAAAGAAAAACAAGCAGCAACAAATCCTATCAGAACACTTACAAGCTGCCTGAAGACAACGCCACATATAGCACAGACTTTCCGTCTTGCTCCCCTTGATTTTCTTGCTAAATCTGTGGAGAGGATGTTTACAATATAAAAAGCCAATCATAAATATGTACAAAGGTCTATTATCATGATAAAATTCATAATTATAACAACAAGTGATATGTATCACATAATGATAAGAATCTATTAATATAAAAGCTTGTGTGTGTGTGTTGTGTGTATGTGTATAAATATATATATAAATGTAAATAAAATACATAAAAATAACAATAATACTGATAAATATCTATAAGATAGTGATAAAAATCTATCAATACAAGTGTGTGCGTGTGTGCGTGTGTGTGCGTGTGTGCATGTGTATAAATATATGTGTAAATATACACACAGATACACACACACACACACACACACACACACACACACACACACACACACACACACACACACACACACACACATATATATATAATACTTATATATATATATATATATATATATATATATATATATATATATATATATATATATATATATATATATATATATATATCCACACATTTACACCTTGGTCTGTATGCATTCATAGAAATAAATTGATACAAGTAGAGATATGAATACTGATATCCATATTTGTACATAGTTTCACAAAGAATTTCTTAGTGTAAGATATTTATAATTTGATTCTTATTAAATTTCATAATTAAGGAAAATACAATCAAAAACTTCAGTAATACTTACAAGGTTCAGATGAGATAACCTCTATTGACTGAGAAGCATTTATCAACTGATCACAACTTCTGTCACTTTCCTTTTCATTTCTAGTTTCAAAGTTCTGTTCGCATCCCACTTTCACCTGTCTTGTATCGGCATCATCAAACTGAAGTGAATAACTGATACAACTGCTTTCAACAGAACCAGAAGGTCTAATAGGTTCAGAATTTCTTTTTAATATACCACTTGAATTTATAACTTGTGACATGAAATCATTGCTCCACACTAGTTCTTTGTCACTCTCAACCGTAAGAATTATTTCCCCTGACGATGTCTCTGATTTTTCAGAAGAGTTGCAACATATTACCATTTCTATATGAGAATCATTAGACTGGACATCTCCCACTGCTTTAGCCTCATCATTTGAATTATCACAAATTTCAAAATTCTGTACCTCATCTTCTAGGTTTTGACTACTATTTTCAAAGGAGTGTGGAAATGTAGTATCATTACAAGTTTCAACACTTACAAAATTGTCATCTTCAAAAACTCCTTGAATTTCAAAATGAGGCATAGTACTTTCACTTACTTCAAAAATTTCACTATTTTCTTTTGGTTTCACCACTATTTCCTCCCCATCTCTTTCATCTACAGTCTGTAAATCTACTGAACTTTTCTCTATTGGGTATTCAATCAACTGAAAAAGTGTTTTGCATGATGGATTTCCCATTCCCATATTGGATATATCTCTTAGTGTTAGTTCCACTCTTTTAACAACTGAGGTGCCATTAGTTTCTGAATGGTGTGATGTTCTATGATGATAAGACAGTGATTCTCCATCATCTAAACATAATCCACAAAATTCACAAATAGCTGGCTCTTGCAAGCTGTTGATCAAAACCTATAAGAAAAAGAGAACTCATTACCATCAACATAACCAATATAAGCATAAAAATAAAATTATGTATCATTACTCACTGTGTCATTACTATTACTCCAGAGACACTGCAATTAACATACCTGATGCTTCACATGGAGGTGATCTGAGAGGTCATCCTGACATAATAAGCAACACCTGCACAGAGGGCACATGTACACATCCTGAATATCTAGGGAGGTATGGTCACTTGCTACGTGCTGGCTAAGCCGGTCAGCTGATGAAAAGGATTGGAGGCAAAAATCACAGGAAAACTTGTGTTTCTTCTCTCGAATGATGCGAATGTGGACAACTGTTGCCTGGGAATCTCCTGAAATTGCCCAAAAAATTATAACTATGTATCTTACATTTTTTTTTTTAGAGTATGGGGATATTCTACAGATACCTTGTGAAATAAATGTTTCTGATAAGGTTTATAATTTTTTGTATTTTTATATGATTTTCATTCTGAACCCTCCTGTTCCTACCCGACAAAAATGGGAAGCAACAGATTTCAAAATAATAGATGTTTTTCTGATAAGGCATATTATTTTTTTTGTATTTTTACATAACTTTCATTATGAAATATAAATGAAATATAATACAATGCACATTGCAATTGAACCTATAGCAACAGATTTCAAAATGATGTAAAAAAAATATATATATATATAATATATATATACATACATATATATATATAATATATATATATATATATATATATATATATATATTATAATATATATATAATATATATATATATATACATATATATATATATATATATATATATATATATATATATATATATATATATATATATATATATATATATATATATATATATATATATATATATATATATATATATGAGAGAGAGAGAGAGAGAGAGAGAGAGAGAGAGAGAGAGAGAGAGAGAGAGAGAGAGAGAGAGAGAGAGAGAGAGAGAGAGAGAGAGAGAGAGAGAGAGAGAGAGAGATGTATTTTTTATTTTTTTAAGAGTAAGGGGATATTCTACAGATACCATGTGAAAGGAGTCTTATAATATATGTGTTTCTGATAAGGTAAATTATTCTTTTTGAATTTCTATATAACTTTCATTCTGAACCCTCCTGTTCCTACCCCACAAAATACAATAATCCAATACACATTACAATTGAACCTATAGTACCCCTGGGATTATAAAAGTAAAAGATTTCAATATAATGTTCAGTTACAAAAAAAAAAAAAAAAAAAAATGTCACTGATTCTTCAATCAGCTGTGGTGACTACCTTACAAAAGGTGGAAGAAAGCTTAAAATAGGGTATGGACTATTAAGCAAAACAGAGCAATTGGAAAAGAAAGAAAAGAAGAAAAAAAAAATACATATATATATATATATATATATATATATATATATATATATATATATATATATATATATATATATATATATATATATATATATATATATATATATATATATATATATATATATATATATATATATATATATCTTAATATAAAAGTACTGTAAAAACTTCATGAACATCATTAACCTTAAATGAGGAAGATAGAAGTTACTGCACATGAACCGGAACCTCGTACCTCTGGGCTAATGACCTGTTTACTTTAGTTCTGTTTTGTGAAATCTCTACATATGGATGGTTCCCTAAATACTCAACCACCGATGAGGCATTAGTAGACCTTTCCTTCAATTTTTTTTTTTTTTTTTTTATAATGCTATCAATATTAATGCTGTTGTTCTCATGATAGACATAATACATATTATAAAGTTAGTTATCAATAATATTAATAACAATATAAGATGAAAGTGAACATTTCTAAAAATTAATGAAAAGGGTGGACAGGTGAGATCGGTATTTCTAGTAACTGACTCCATGGTGAGTATTCGTGGAGGCATCTAAAGTATGAAGGCAATCAATAAATTAAACATAGTAGGCATAGTATACACATAAATGCAATCCCTGGCAACAATGGGTTAACATAGTAATACTGATACAAAAGTTCTCTTTGAAATTTGATACAGAGAATACCAAAGAAATATTATGGGTAGCATATCATACCCAAAATATCCAGGGTTATATAATATACTAATATATTCCTTGGCCTTAAAACTATTGTATTGTAGCTGACTTATTTGAAAGGAATAATAAAACAAGCCTTATGAATCCCCACAAAGAGAGTGAGAATTAAGTAATGACATCAACTTGTGATGATTTGGTATCATTGGATTTCACTCACTCTCTAGTTTTCAAATGTACATAAATCATTGCGTGAAAATCCCCCATACCCCCACACTCTTAGCCCCAATAGCAGGGGAGGGCATGAAGGTACCAGGGAAATTCCTGGTAAAGTATGAATAATATTGTCTAATACAGGGGGCTGTGGTCACTGCAACCCCCCATGGAGGCTACCCCCCCCAAAAAAAAAAAAAAAAATCCTCCATGTACTCATAGCAGGAGAGTATATTACAGCCATGCAGAATTGCTGTTACCAAATTTGTCCTACACTCTCTCCTGCCGTGATTACGTGGTGGATTCCTTGCTTTTCTGTACATAGAGTTTCTTGTATAGTCTAAACGGCCTGATTGCATACTCTTGGAGCTCTACAAGTTCAGTTTACCCTTACAACTGTATCAGTGACATTATAATAGTATGGAACATTACCGAAAAAATATCTCGTGACTCTTAAGTCAGACAAGGAATAATAATTTCACCTGTCAACACCAACGACTGGAGGTATATACCAGGATAAAACGCCAAAGGAATATTGTGTCATTGCCTCATTGTGTTTTACAAAGAAGGATAATATTACCTGTCGACTTCATATCTATGTTTTTATCGAGAAGTTTTCTTTCCGAAGGGAGGTTCTCTTCTCGATCAGCTGACTTTCCAATGTTTGTCTCTTATATCGGGGTTTGACAGCTGGAGAATCAGAGCGGGATATTTAAATTGGTATGAAGTTGGCGACACAGGGTGTAAAAATATAAAATATCACACTCATAAATACATACATATGTACACACACACATACACAACACACACACACACACACACACACACACACACACACACACACACATATATATATATATATATATATATATATATATATATATATATATATATATATATATATATATATATATATATATATATATATATATATATATATATATATATATATATATATATATATATGCATATGATAATTCTTTACAGTATGTGCATACTCGCCAGAGATTAACGGCCGTATGCTTAAAGAAAATGTATAACGCAAATCAGTTCTGGACAGAATCTTCTTATGCTAGAACCTTTATGATTATAGGAAGTCAACATATCTTTAGGAGTGTCATTTTCAAAAATACAGTGTTCTTATCCTCTTGCGATATTCCAATTAAAATCGAGGTAGTACTTGGTGGATACATATGTACGTGCCATAAAAGTTAATCCAGTATTAAAGTTTAATCCAGATCTCTAGTGTGCATGCGCGTTGGCAGCGTCCAGGATCAACTTTTAATGCACCTCTGGGCAGGCTGTAAGGGCGTCTTCTGTACGTGCCATAAAAGTTAATCTAGTATTAAAGTCTAACCCAGATCTCTAGTGCGCATGCGCATTGGCAGCGTCCAGGATCAACTTGTAATGCACCTCTAGACCAGGCTTTAATATTAAGCTCATTTTCTAATCCTGCACATGCGCAGAAGGGACAAGTTAATCCCACCAATCATGTACTGTTACGTCACGTGTCCGTCATGAACTTCACGGGTGCCATCGCTATCGAGTTATTTTCAGCAATAACATCGATCGTCTTAAAATTTTCATACTTAGTATTTATTATGAAAATGAAATTATATATATTTACACAAATGATCAAATATTCTGATAAAGGAAATAACTTATGGGAATGAATATAAAAACCAATTTAATCCCACGAGGAATCTTTGAAGTTCAGAGGCTGCGGGCATGGAATTCATATTTCCAGGTTAGTGAGACAAAAATTATATGGTGAAGGTCACACAAGTTGACGTTTTAAATAAAATATGAACCAGTGTTTTAAAGAAGAATTATATGCTGTTTTTCTCAACTACTTTACTACAAAATTAACATGTATACTTTTCTACGGACCTCCTGAACAGCATCCCGAAGAAAACATGTTTCCCTCGTCCAACACGATTCAACGCAGCAAAGAGCAGTCCGAGGAAACTGCGCGATGGGTATTAATTGGTGAATGTCATTTTTGTACTTCTGTCATTGAAATAAAGATTGGTTTTATAGTTGTTAGAGCAGTTTCGTTACTCATTTTACTACTATAAATATAAGATCGTTATCATGAAAGAAAATAGAATATTTCATAAATAATCATGTTTCCCTTATAAGTAAGCCTACTTGTGCCTCGTTATTATCATATGAAGATCAAACTGCATCTTGAGTGACTGACTACAACTTTCTAAAACAATCACCCTTTCTCCAATCTATAAAAAAATGAATATCAGTTGTCAGAAAAATCTTTTAACAATGCAGTGCCTGAATGCAAATTGCAAGGTTTATTTATCCTAGTAAATTTTATATCGGACTGCAAATCTTTAGGTAATATCTTTAATACTGTCTTCTATATCATATGCGTAGGGACGTGAAGGGTGAATGTTGAATAGATATCTTTTGGATGATTTTGTTGCTTATTTACAGGTATGAGTGCATGACTTGCTCCAAACGCTACCCTACACAACATGCAACAGTTATGTGTGAAGAGCAACATTACACAGAAACGTTTCTAAATACCACAGATTTTTCAGCAATAAAAAGACAACATACCTCAGCTCCCACCCTTTAGATTTGTAAAACCTATTCCCACACGCCCAGAAATACGAGACCAGGATCTTCACACCAACAGCAGAGGGCAGAACCATAACTATATCACAGACCGGGAACATCACAATAATTGATAGAAATTTAAAGAGACAGTCCATTAACTTAAGATTCCAAACAAATCATATGAGAAACAGATAATCTTGAAGAAATGTGTACAGAAAATAGAGGTACGAACTTTCTTACTTTGATATGATGTTAGTCTTAGTTTTCAACTTTGGGAACACTGGGGGGCACAAAGAATTGATTAATAATATGAATAAATTTTTAATGCTTTGTCTTCAATCATGTAGATACGTCTAGGATGAAGGGAAGGAAAGGGTGGTCTTCAGAAGCATCTGATAAGTTTATATTATTACAGAACACTTTAAACAATTAGGAGGCAAAGCAGTGCAGAAATAAAAAAGGCAGAAGATAATTACCATTATGAAAACATTAGTAAGAGTCAGTTTCATGAAATACACATTAAATATTTTAGATATTTTGAAACTTAAGGGATGTCATTACATGCCATTACAAAAAGAAAGAAAGAAAAAAATGAATTCTCCCAAATGAGCAAATTTCACGCGCGACATTTCTCTTCTCTCCGATATGTTTACATGATCAAGGTCTATATAAGTACTTATATAGACCTTGTACATGATAACGGTGGTAATAGAATAATGAGTACGGCAGTTTACTAAACATAAATGTCGCGCCGTCTGGCAGCGGAGAGTGTCGTCTTCGGTACGGACACGGTGGATTAGGATTAAACTAAATACGGTATTAAGAGTTAAGGACATCTTTCCTTCTCTTTAGGTAGCCAGCTACCCCTAGCTTCCACCCCCCTCCTGCACTAAGGAGCCCTTACTTTCTCCTCCCTTTAGTCCATTCAGCGGCAGGACGCTACAGAAGACGCCCATAGTGTATTTGAGCTTTTGCTAGTTTTACAGGTCAGGGCAAGACACTGGTGACACAGGTACATATTTCCAGTTCAGTGACAAACAAAGACAGAAAGGTGCATTGAAACACGTGTTGCAGTTCGTACAGATATACTTTTAAGGCTCTAAGCTAAGTAGCGGCCATTTTGGTTGCAATGCGAAGCGAACTACTTCCAACTCTCGCCCTGTTCACCACGCAAGGCTTCGCGAAACGTTTTGCCAGCTTGACCGTTAACTTGATTTTGACGCGCAACGAACGGCGATTTTCAGATGCAGGCCCTTGTGCGATTTTTTTTTTCTAAATAGGCCTTATGCTCATTTGTTTTCTCCCGTATTAGGTATAGCTAGTGTAAGTGATCTGAAAAGTATCCTGCCTTTACCCGAAGTTCACTAGAATACACTGTGTTTGATGCGTGATGTTTCAACACGTGGACAGTTTAAAGGTTGCAGTTATACCTTCTTCAAAATAATGTGGTAAAATGATTGGTTAGTTTTGCTACTGCACTTTACATTACATCTTTTATGTCTCTTCTGAAGCTCCGCCCTATTTAGTTCCACTATTATAATAATCAAAGCGTTTCTAATATATAGGCCTACATTATTATGTGTCTGGTCGCGTATACGAGTTTCTATGAAAGTCCAGGAGCGGATCTAAGAGTTTTGGAAAGGTGGATGGAGGTCTTTCTAACTTGTTTTACAACATTTAGTACAAAATATTTCTTCTATAAATGCTTATTAAGTGGCCTTTGTGAAGATGGGTTGACGGGTGGTAATTTACGGCACATTGGGAACATAAAGGAGTAATTTTAGTTGTTTAAACAGGCCCATCTTCATAATACAAAA